AGTCCAAGGACAAAGTCCATGGAAATGTCGACCCAAGGTTGCGTGGGGATCGGTAGTGGCATATACAATCCATGAGGTTGCACTTGGCTCGATGGCATTCGATGCACTTGGCGCAAAACTTCCGAACATCCCTCTTGAGATGTGGCCAAAAGAAGTGTTCTTGTACTACGACCAAAGTCTTATCTACCCCGAAGTGACCAGCTAGGGCTCCTCCATGAGCTTCTCGGAGTATGACATCTCGTAATGATCCTTGAGGGAGACACAATCGTCTATCACGGAATAGGTATCCATCATGCAAATAATATGGCCCGTGGCCTCCCTTTTGACATTCCTCCACGATGGTACCAAAGTCACGGTCGTCCTCATACCGTGCTTTGACATGCTCAAAGCCGAACATTCTCGTCTCCATGACCGATATCAAGGTGTGTCGGCGAGATAATGCATCGGCCACGACATTCTCTTTTCCCTTTTTGTACTTGATAATGTATGGGAATGTCTCGATAAACTCTAACCACTTAGCGTGCCAACGCTTGAGAGTGGTTTGGCCCTTGAGATGCTTGAGCGTCTCATGATCCGAATGCACTACGAATTCCTTGGCCAACAAGTAATGTTGCCAAGTCTCTAATGCTCGTACGAGTGCATACAACTCCTTATCGTAGGTCGGATAATTAAGTGTGGCCCCGCTTAATTTTTCACTAAAGAATGCAACGGGCTTCTTCTCTTGCATTAGGACAGCTCCTATGCCAATCCCGGATGCATCGCACTCGACCTCGAAACTTTTGTCAAAGTTCAGAAGAACTAAGACGGGAGCATGTGTGAGGCTGTCTTTGAGGGCAGCAAAGGCTTGTTCTTGTGCGTCTCCCCATTCGAATGGTATGTCCTTCTTAATTACCGCAGTAAGGGGAGCGGCTATGCTACTAAAATCCCGCACAAAACGGCGATAAAAGCTAGCCAAGCCATGAAAACTACGCACTTGCCCAACAGTGGTCGGAGTCGGCCATTCCGTGATGGCTTTGATCTTTTCCTTATTGACTCGCAGCCCACTCGAGCTGACCACAAAGCCTAGAAAGACGATCTTGTTAGTGTAGAACGAGCATTTCTTTAAATTAGCGTATAGACTTTCCTTCCTAAGTGCGGTCAAGACTTGCTCAAGATGAATCGCGTGGTCCTCCTCGGTGCGACTATACATGAGAATATCGTCAAAGTACACGACCACGAACTTGCCGATGAAGGCTCTCAAGATGTGGTTCATAAGCCTCATGAAGGTACTCGGGGCATTAGTGAGCCCGAAAGGCATCACAAGCCACTCATAGAGTCCTTGTTTGGTTTTGAAAGCGGTTTTCCATTCATCGCCTTCTTTCATTCGAACTTGATGATAACCACTTTTCAAATCGATCTTGGAGAAGTCGTGGCTCCGCTAAGCTCATCAAGCATATCATCAAGGCGGGGAATTGGATGGCGATATTTGACAGTGATGTTGTTTATCGCACGGCAATCGACGCACATCCGCCAAGTCCCGTCTTTCTTTGGTACTTGAAGCACCGAAACCACGCAGAGACTCAGACTCTCCCTAATATACCCCTTGCCCAGAAGCTCTTGAATCTGCTAGCTCTTTCGTTTCCTCGGGGTTCATACGATAGGCTGGGCGGTTTGGTAGCGGCGCACCGGGTACTAGATCGATTTGGTGCTCAATACCGCGAATCGGAGGAAGACCAGCCGATATATCCTCGGGAAACACATCTCGGAACTGATCAAGAAGCCGTGATATGGCTGGACTCTCGTGAGAGAAATCAGTCCAGAGAGTGATCTGATCTTTAAAGACCATCAAAAGAACCGAAGGATGAAGGCGAATGGCCTTTTCGACTTGACTCGACCGAAGGTAAAAGTTGCCTTTCTTGGGTTCGGTTTCTTTCGCAAGTCGCAACTGCATCTCGTGGACTTGAGATGGAGTGAGAGGGGCTAACACAACCTTCTTTTTGTTGTGTATAAGAGAGTATTGATTGGCCCGTCCATCATGCATGACCTCTCGGTCGAATTGCCAAGGCCGACCCAAAAGCATGTGTCCTGCTTGCATGGGGACGACATCACACACGACCTCATCGTGGTAACGTCCAATGCTAAAGGGAATTTTCACTCTCTCGCTCACTCTTATTTCCCATTGGTTATTCAACCATTGTAGCTTATAGGGGTGTGGGTGCTTTTCGGGCTCAAGTCCTAACTTTTTCACCATGTAGGCACTAGCCACGTTGGTGCACGTTTTCACCATCTAGGCACTAGCCACGTTGGTGCACGACCCGCTATTGATTATCAACCCGCAAACTTTTCCTTGGACGGTGCACCGAGTATGAAATATCGTTTCTCGCTGTGCGGTCTCGTCCGGGTTTGTCATAGCGCAGCTCTCCGCTATCGGGATACTCAATCTCTTCCTCGAGATCACCCGCTTCTTCCTCATCAAGCGACTTGTATTCTCCATTGTCCGTGATAATCATAACTCTTGCATTTGGACAATCACGAGCCATATGACCCCGTCCTCGGCATTTGTAGCACATGATCTCTCGAGATCGTGTGTCACGTGAGGAATCGTTTTGGGTCCTGGATTGTAAAGTTTCGGGAGCTTTGCCTTTGTCCCGGAAGTTTGGCATATTACGACTCTCGGCATTTTCTTTGCGAGGCGCGGCCATAGGTTTGGGGACGGGTGAGAAAAGACTAGGAGACGCTTTAGGCTTACTTAGCCGCGCTTGTTTTCTTTGGTTTTGTTTTTCAATTTGCACGGCCAAGTGCAGAAGCTCATGGAGATCTTGGTACGGGTGGCGCTCAACGTTTCGAGCAATTCGCTCGTTTAATCCGTCGAGGAACTGAGCCATCACCGTTTCCTCATCCTCTTCCATGACCAACCTAGTCCGAAGGTGCTCGAATTCCTCGAAATATTCCTCTACAGTCCTAGCACCTTGCGAGATTCTCCGATACCAGTTTTCGATGAAAATGAGGTGGTATATAGCGTTTTCGCAGTAACGCTTTCATCTCACGCCAAGTTCCGACCGACTCTATTTGAGCACGTTGTCTCTCGGCCAACTCACGATCCCACCAAGCTAACGCACCCTCGGCTAATTGAGCAGCCGCGTATTGGACTTGTCGACGGTCCGAATACGAATAACAATCGAATATGTTATCCATGCGTCGCTCCCAATCCAAATAGGCCTCGGGATCTATCCGTCCTATGAACAAGGGCGGTTTGAGTTTAAGATCAGCCCCTTGACCCCTAGTGGGCCGAGGTTCCTCTTCCTCAACTAGATTTGCCCATCTCTCCGGCCTAGCTCTACGATGGGGGTTTCGTCTAGGTAGATACTCGGGATCCGATTCCTCGTCGGAGACCCTTTCTCGCGGCCTAAGGTCTCGACGTCTATGTGGCTCATCCCTATCGGAGTTATCCTCAATCACACGCCCTCTTGGCCTATGCCTTGGTTGGATATCACTCTCTACATCAATGGGGAGGTCGGGATTATGGTTTTGATTTGGTCTAGGGCGTGCTATCGGTTCTCGCACACGAGGCTCGGGTGTTCTATCGGCTTCTAACCTAGCTAAACGATATGGCTCCATTACTAGGCTCACAGTTGGAACCTTCGTTGGACGGCTCGTGGTTACTCATAATTCTCTCAAGTCTCGCACTATGTAAGTAATAACCACAACGCTCAAAGGAATCTATCCTAACGTGCAAGAATAATGAACATTAAGCGTGCTCGCCAATCAAGTAAAACAATCAACGTGCAAGATGATAACGTGCGCTGCAATCAAACGAAACCAATTCAACGTGCAAGATGGTGAACAAGCTTTACTTATTACGGACAGATTTGCAATCACGGCACAACACACTCGAACACTTTCGTCTAACGGGCGAACAAGACAGATTTTTGTTACAACGTGCGAATACAATCACAAGCGAACGGATTTGCTTTTAAAACCACGGATTGGACAGGGAATTGATCAACCAAAACGTGCAACACAAACCTTCTTCACACACGGATTCAAGCAAACAACAACATGCAGCTTGTTTCACACAATTAATCAAACACTCGGCATGCACTCGACGAAAACGAAAGGAGTAAAAGAGAGGAACGAAACAACCTAGAGGAGGGCTGATGGATCGATGTAGATGAGGTTTCCTGGGCCGTTACTCCGTAGATTTGCTGCAAAACACGCAGAAGTGATCAGCTCTTGACAATGACGAAAAAAAAGTCGATAATACGGAATTGTTTTTGGTGAGAAATGATTTTCGGTTTATAGAAACGAAATAGACAATAAAAGAACTAGAAAAGGAGAGATCTCACCGGGTTTAAGTCGCCGTTGGAGCGTTAAAGATCTGATACCAAAATGATACACGCCTCGGCGTAGCGGAAGAGATGCCCGGTGATAGAGATGGACGAGATAGAGGCGAAAAGGGGGTTCAGAATCAATCACTCGTCCAAGAGGACTCTCGAACTCAATTCCGAATGAAAGGGTGGATGGCGAAGGGATAAGGGGCGTATTCGGACAGACCAAATAAAAATTTGGACG